CAGTGTACATATCCTTCTAAGGTAGGGAAGAGCATTGGCTTTAAAAACAAAAAACAAAAAACAAAAAAAACCCATTGGAGTTGAACCCAGGGACATTTTTCCTTTGAGATACATCCCTCCCCGGCCCTACCCTCGCTGAAGCCGGCTTAAGATTTTTTTTTTTTGTACCAGGTTTGAACCCAGGGGCTCTGAACCACTGTATCACATCTCCAGCCCTTTTTATTTTTATTTAGAGACAGGGTATCTCTGAATTGCTTAGCTCCTCCCTGTTGCTGAGGCTGGCATTGAACTTGCCATCCTCCTGTCTCAGCCTGCCAAGCAGCTGAATTACAGGCCAAGCTCCCCGCAGCCCCTCTACACCGTTCTTAGAACTCTTGAGAATTGTATCCACTTTTGAGGTAAAAGTTCAAGGAGAGGCCAGGGCTGGGAACACAAAAGTAAATACTTTATTCTTTTGGGGAACTTTTCCAATGATTGTTATCTTCAAATTTTGCCCAATTACTAGTGCTGCCTTCTTTTTTTGCTGCTGTGTACATGAATCCAAAGCCTCAAGCATGCTGGTAAAGTGTTCTACCACTGAGATCCCCACAATTGTTGGTGCCATAACTGAATTCTAGCCAGTGCCAACAATATATTAATATGTATCAACAGAACTGAGGGTATAGCTCAGTAATAAAGCATATGCCTAGCATGTGCAAGGCCCTGGATTGGATCTCTAGTAGCATTGGAAAAAGATGGTATTAAAAAAAAGGAAAAGGAGAAGAAAACATGGCAGGAATAACAGCAAATCCCTGAAAACTTCTCTGTCCTATTTACCTTGATATTTCTGAAAGTTCCTATAAAATTATAAAACTTTGTACAAAAAACCCCAGCCAGACCCGACAAAGCAATACTTTAGGGAGTCTGAAAAAGGCTCTCCTGTGATTTTTAAAAATGCTTTGTATTGGACAGGAGTCCAAATGGTTAGCACTTCCTAGTCTTCCCTTTAGTTTTAGCATTTTGTTTGGGGAAAATATTGCACAAGGAACCCAGGAGCGCTGTTCCACTGAACTGCATATGCTTGAGACAATTGTCTTGATTGCCAAATTGCCTTAGCCTATCAAATCGCTGGGACTAGTTTTTTATTTTTATTTTAGAATTTTTAGTTGTAGATGGACACAATACCTTTATCTATTTTTATGTGGCGCTAAGGATTGAATACATTGAATACACTATCACATGGAAACCCATTTAAAATGCAAAAATTACTGCCAGACACAGAGGCACATACTTCTAATTCCACCTGCCAGGAAAGTGCTCTACCACTGAACCATAACTGCAGCCCCTGGTTTTAGCTTTTTATTTTTTATTTTTATTTATTTATTTATTTATTTATTTTAAAGAGAGAGTGAGAGAGGAGAGAGATAGAGAATTTTTAATATTTTTTAGTTCTCGGTGGACACAACATCTTTGTTGGTATGTGGCCCTGAGGATCGAACCCGGGTCGCACGCATGCCAGGCGAGCACGCTACCGCTTGAGCCACATCCCCAGCCCGTGGTTTTAGCTTTTTGAAGTAAGGAATCTAGTATTATATAACTGTTAACCAACCATTCCAGGCATCTGGTTACAAATGCCAAGCACAAACTGTATTTTGGGTCCTGGGGATTTAACCCAGGGGTACTTTACTACTGAGGTATACCCCCAGATTATTTTGACAGGATCTCCCCAAGTTGCTGAGGCTGGCCTCAAACCTGCAATCCTCCTGCCTCAGTCTCCAAAATTGTGCCTGGGAAAAAACTTTTTTCCTTTTTGTACCAAGGATTGAATACAAGGGCACTTAACCACAATTCCCAGTCCTTTACGAGACAAGTTCTCACTAAATTGCTTAGAGCCAAATTGCTGAAGCTAGCCTCAAACTTGTGATACTCTTGCCTCCACCTCAAGAGTGGCTGGGATTACAGGAGTGCACCAGCACACCAACACTACAAACACATGTAGGTACATAATAGATCTTTGGATGGTCCCTAATCCTTTATTACATCACCATCACGTGGAAACCCATTTAAAATGCAAATTATTGCCAGACACAGAGGCACATACCTGTAATTCCAGCTGTTTTGGAGGCTGAAGCAGGAGGATCAGAAGTTTAAGGCCAGCCTGGGCAACTTTTAGAAAAACCCATCTCAAAATTAAAAAGGGCTTGGAGATATAACACAGTGGTAGAGTGCTCCTGGGTTCCAAAATGCAAATTATCAGTATTCCAAACTCAACAAATTAAAACTCTGGGTCATGCACTGTTCACACAGCCAGGTAATTTTGATGTATATTAACATTTGAAAACCACTGGTACTAAGAACAGAGTTCACACACCACTTTCTTGAGTCTAATAAACCTCCAATGGCTGTAAAAACTTTCATCATTCTTTAAATAGAGAAAGGCTGGGGGTTGTGGCTCAGCGGTAGAACACTTTTTTCTCGCATACATGCAAGGCCCTGGGTTCCATCCTCAGGACCACATAAAAATAAAATAAAGGTATTGTGCCCGACTTAAAAAAAACATATATACATATATTTATAGCTCAAAAATTGGCTCAGGGTCCTTTGTCAGTGAATACAATCTCAAACCCAAAACCATTAAACACTTGAACTAGCTTTCAAGTTATACTGAACTACATACTATGATGGATGGAGACCAACAAGTATCCTCACAGAGATGTAGTACGTTTTCTCTTTTGATGTACTGAGGATTCAACCCAGGGGCACTCAACAACTGAACTATGGCCCAAGTTTTTTTTCAGACAGGACTTGACCTTGAATGTGGTATCCTCTTGCCTCACCTCCCAAGTATCTGGGATTACAGGAACACCACCATACCCAGATCATAGTAAAAGTTACAGTGCATGAGCTTTTATCAATTAACATGCAAAAAACAATGCTCAATAAAATAAATTACATAGTTGTACATTCTTTTCTAACCATACTACCTGCCACATCACCTTAATGAAAGGGCCAGAGGTATCTCTTTCTCTTAGGAAATCCAGACAAAGAATTTTTTTTTTTTTTTTTTTTTTAAGAAACAGGGCATCGTGGCACACACCTTTAAACCTACTTCCTTGGGAATCTGGGGCAGGAGGGTCACAAGCTAGAGGCCAGCTGTGAGATGCCCCTCCTTCTGGTAAAAAGTTCCTTAAACTCACTTTAAAATCCAGGTGCTGGTGGTGTATACCATGTTCACAAATTCATCTTCCTGAATAGCAAGTTATCTTCAGAAAAAAACTTTTGAAACAGGATTATGCTGCCCATGCTGGACTTAAACTCGGGCTTAAGTGATCACACCTTCCTAGCCTCCCAAATGGCTGACTGCAAGTACAGAATGTTGTGCCCAACAAAATGGAATTATATTATACCCAACTGAACTGAAGCCTCATCACTGAGGACACTTGGTATCCCAATTTAACCAGCAATGAATTTAAGGGAAAAAAAATCATGTTTTTTTGGTACTACAATTTAAACCCAGGGGCGCTTTAGCACCGTTCCCCTTAATCCCCCAGGATAGGGTCATGCTAAGTTGCTGAAGCTGGCTTTTGTTTAAAATCATTTTTTATAGTAGATGGACACAATACCTTGTTTGTTTTTCGGCGGATACATCATCTTTGTATGTGGTGCTAAGGATCGAACCCAGGCCACGCGCTACCGCTTGAGCCACATCCCCACTCCCAATACCTTAATTTTTAAATTTTATTTTTATGTGGTGCTGAGGATTGAACCCAGTGCCTCACATGTGCTAGGCAAGCACTCTACCAACTGAGCTATAACCCCAGCCCATGAGGCTGGCTTTGGGCTTGTGACCCTCCCGCTTCAGCCTCCTTGGTCACTGAGATCACAGGCATGTGCCACTGTGCTTAGCTAAACCCAGGGTATTTCTAAAAGCTTTCATCCATTTCCAAATAAGACCGAAATCATGACAGGGAAACTGTTCTTAAACTGTACAACCAGAAGGTTTAAGTGGACTTGTGCCAGTCTGATCTGATAAATAGGTATTAGAAATGTACATTACTAGCAGCTTATTTATGAAAAATTAGGAATTCTAAATGTTATCAGAAAAAAACTAAACATCTTTAAATCTAACAAAATCTACAATGTTGTACATAATGCTTTCTTCAGCTGCTGTTAGTTAAAAATGAAATAAAACAAGAGGGTAATTAGTAAAAGATAAAATTTAAATTGAAGTGAACTGGCAAGGATTTTTTGTGCATGTTACATTAAAATAGTAATCTACCCTTCAACCAAGGATACTGTAAAAAAAATAAAGAAAAATTTAAAGGGGGGAAGGGGCTGGGATTGTGGCTCAGCAGTAGAGCCTTTGCCCAGCATGGGCGGGAGCTGGGTTCGATCCTCAGCACCATAAAAATAAAGGCATTATATTGTGTCCATCTACACCTAAAAAATAAATATTTAAAAAAACAATAAATAAATAAATGGGGGTGAATGGGAACTGGAGATTGAACCCAGGAGCACTTTATCACTGAGCTACATATATCCCCAGTCCTCTTTTAATTACGAGAAAATAAAAACTTTAGGCTTTCACTAAGTCACCAATTTTTGAGGCTGGCCTCAAACTCCTCATACTTCTGTCTCCTAAGTTACCAGGATTTGGGATTTTCAAGCATGTGCTGCTGCATCCACCTGGAAACCATAAAATTTTACCCAACTATTTGAAATATTGTTTAATATACTTCAGCTAGGAGTTTCAAATAATCACTACAGGTTTTATTTTTAAAAATTAAAAAAATACTTTAGATAACAGATAATTCAACACCAAGAATTCCTACATAACTATAACGAAAGGCTAGCAGAAGTAATTCTTGTTATTTCATGTCCCAATTCTATAAAGGTATGGACATGACTAAACAAACTTTGCAATTTCTTCACCCTTAATGCTTTAAACCATCCCTCTTAAAAAAAACCAAAATACATTTTAGTTATGTAACAGGAACAAGAAATCCACCAGCACCAAAAAGTTTAAAATTCAGATCTTTAGTAGCAGTCTTTAGAACACTCACTCTAGATTAAAAAAGTAATAATTTGTTAAAGCATGCACAAAAGTGTAACAGTGAATAAAAATCACAACTGACAAATATATTGGTTAACATTCCAAACATGTATAACCAATGAACATGGCCTAGGATTTTTTTTATTGGTATTCACTTCAGTAACTTGAATCCACAGATATAAGCAGTAAATAACCAGAGTTACAAGTAAACACAGATTATACATGCAAATTTTTGTTCACAAAGGTCACATGTGCAGGTACATGAATTAGAAGCGTGCGTCTAGAATTATGGCCAAACTTTAAAATGCAGAAATGTTGAAATTACATCTTGAAAATATGAAGAGATGGTCTACACACTTCAAAAATCAAATATTGCTTATACCAGCGATGTATGACAGCTATAGGATTCAAGTGACAAGCAGTAGATCTCAAGAAATTAATACTGGTCAGAGAGAACGGGAATATTTTTACATTTCACTGAAAATACATTGACTACTAGAATACAAAACCTAGCAGGAACTCAGGGAAAAATTACAAAATCTAAAGCCAATTACTTAATATTTCTTATTACCTAAAACAGCATGACATTAAAAGAAAACTGCACCTGCATTTGAATTGCCAATTTCACATGAAGTTCTCTAAAAATGAATGCAACCAAAACAGCTTCAAACTCCAAATGAAAAGTCTGCAAGGCTCAGATTAAAATGTGGAATGTTTCAGATGAAAGTAATAAAAATACAATTGTTTTTGTTCTTTATTGAATGGAATCAAAAATTGACATTTCTTTGAAGCTTGGAACGACTAAATTTCATTTCTCTGAACGGTTCTGTTATCTTTTACTTAGTGGTGCAAGTTGTCTTAACGTAGCTTATGGAGTCAGTCTCTACAAAGTACTTCTGTCTGTTGCCATTCTGATGAAACAAAAACTATTCTTCATTAACTTAACCGTATGTGTATTTTTTTTTTTGCTATAACACTTAACACATGAACAGACATCTATTATTTTTCCACTAAAACAAAAGAGTACAATAGTTTTCTTCTAACTATCAGTATTGTATTTAAAAAAGGTTAACATTAAAAACAAAGAACCATTGTTTTCTTTGAAATTAAGCTTCTTGAACATATTAAGCCTCCTTCTTCTGCCTGCGTTCTTCTGCCAATTTATTCAGAAATTTCTGAGAAGAAAAAAAAATTATAGAAATTAAGGCATGAAGAAAAATATTAACATACATTAATTCAAAAACATTCCATCCAAGCTTAGGGACCTGAGTAAAATTTGAATGAGTTTATTCTTAAGTATACAAAACTCAGCTGGTTCAGAGGACACCACAAATAAGGCATGGGGAAAAAAATGATAAATGTGAAAAATGAACACTTCAATTATGCAATTAACCCTAACTTTTATAGATGAAAATACAAATAGTCACATAGAATTGGTGCTACTCCAAGAACATAGATTAATTAAAATGGCATGCATTTATTCAATGGTCTTAATTGTTAACAAATGTTTTCAAAGGAATGGTAATAAATATATAAGGCTTGTGGAGCACCAGGTCTTTGTTGCAACTAGTGCTCAACTAAAGCAGTCACAAACAATACTTAACAATCATGCCTGTGTTCTAATAAAATTTTATTTTCAAGAGTAGGCACCTGGGCCACAAATATAGCTTGATGAGCCATTACTAAACGTGAGACTTCTAGAGTTCCTAGACATGAGCTCTACTGAAGACACCAATTCAAGCACAGAAATAATTTAAAAATCTAATCTAAAATACCAAAAGTTGGGCTGGGGATGTGGCTCAATCAGTAGCGCGCTCGCCTGCCATGCATGCGGCCTGGGTTCGATCCTCAGCACCACATATAAAGATGCTGTGTCCGCCGAAAACTAAATAAAATACCAAAAGTTTCTTAACTTTTGTCGAAGTGTGTCAACTCTGGTTACTGCAAACTGATGGGAAGCTTATAAGCTATTATATCCTTAAAGAGAAAATGAACACCAATAACCCCCACCCCACAAAACACCCAATTATCAATTTATCCCCGCCCCATAAAACACCCAATGATCAATTTATCATATATTAGCAAGGTACTATATTTCCTAATAGTTGACAATTTCTTTTTTTTTTTTTTTGGTATTAGGGATTGAACCAAGGGTTTCTTTACCACTGAGCCACATCCTCCAGCCCTGTTTTTACTTAGGATCTTGCTGAATTGCTTAGGGTCTCACTAAGTTGCTGGGGCTGATTTTGAACTCATAATCCTCCTGCATCAGCCTCCCAAGCCACTGTGATTACAGGTATGTGCCACCATGCCCAGATGACAAAATTTCTTTATTTGTAGTGCTGGGGAGCGAACCCAGGGCACTGTGCATAAGAGGCAAGCACTCAACCAACTGAGATATATTCCCAGCCTGACAAAGTTTCCTTTAGATGAATAAAATACATTTCATTTATTTTTTTAATGTGGTGCTGAGGATCAAACCCGGTGCCTCACACATGCAAGGCAAGCACTCTACCACTGAGCCACAACCCCAGCCCTAATAGGCTTTTTTTTTTTTTTTTTAATTATTAAAAAGTTTCTTTTTAATAGAAGGAAACAATGAAATGAGCCACCTCCAACAGACCAAATATGAGCACCTAGAAACCACTTTCATATTATTCCTATACTAATTTAATAAAAAACAAAATCCCAGTGGCTTGGGAGTCTAGAAGGAGAATTTTGAGTTCAAAGCCAGCCTTAGCAACTTAGTAATGCCCTGTCTCTAATATTCATCCATTCGCCTGTTTGTTCTTGGCAGGCCTTTATGTGGTACTGAGACTTGAACCCAGCGCCTCACACATGCAGGGCAAGAGTGCTTCCACTTAGTTTTCTAACCCTGAACAGCTTAAAATCAAAGAAAGCAACAATATTACACTAGGTTCAGTGGTATGGCACACGCTTTTAACGTGCAGGAGGGTCCTGGGTTAAATCCCCACTACACACATACATGCACAAACACAACTGCAGTTACTGCTGAGAATAAACACCATACTTTTGTCATATCCATAATTGTAAGAGACATATAGGTAGCAAGAATAGGGCTTGGGTTGTAGCTCAATGGTAGAGCACTTGCCTAGCACCACATTAAATATAAATGAAAAAAGTTATATTAAAAAGAAACAAAATTGATGTAGGCAGGAACAATAATTCTAAATAATTATCCATCTAGTCAACATAGAAAATGTTTTTGATAACTGACTGCTGTACAGGTTGAATGTCCCTTACCTGGACAGATCCTAGGGATTACAAGTATTTTGAATTTCAGATTTTTGAATGTGTGCAAAAGCGTAAGGAGATACTATGCACTGTACAAGACCCAAGTCTAAATAAAAAATTAATTTATATTTTATTTTATGAATACCTTATGCACATAGCCTGAAGGAAATTTCTTTTTACTGTATTGTGCTGGAAATTGAATCCAGAGATTCATTCATGCTATCCAAGTGTTCTGTCGCTGAGCTCTAGCTCCAGCTCCTGAAAGTACTTTTATATTTCAGAATACCTTTGACAATGATCTATTACATGAGGTCAGGAGTGGAATTTTATACTTATAGCATCATGTTGGTTCTCAAGTTTGATGTTGGATTTCCATATTAGGGACACTCAACTTGTTGAGGGCTGTAGCTCAGAGGTAGAGTGCTCACCTTGTATGAGAAAGGCACTGGGCTTTGATCCTTAGCACCACATAAAAATAAAAAGGTACTGTACATCTACAACTTAAAAATAACTGAAGAGAGTAGGCTGGGGTTGTGGCTCAGTGGGAGAGTGCTTGTTTAGCATGAAGGAGGCACTGGGTTTGATCCTCAGCACCACATAAATGTAAAATAAAGACATTGTGTCCACCTAAAACTTAAGAATAAATATTTTTTTTTTAAAAAAATGGAAGAGTGTCATTACTAGGAAATAATGTTGATAAAAAAATTACATAGGGACATGGCATCGTACAAAGTTGATAAAGCCTTACATCATCTCACTTGGAATTTAGACCTCTAGCACCTACACATATTATCGTGTGTTTTTTTAAAATTTTTAATATTTTTCAGTTTTCAGTGGACACAACATCTTTGTATGTGGTGCTGAGGATCGAACCGGGGCTGCATGCATGCCAGGTAAGCGCGCTACCGCTTGGGCCACATCCCCAGCCCCTGTTTGTTTATTTTTGGATACCAAGGATGAAATCAAGGGTATCAAAACCACTGAGCCACATCAGGTCTGTTGTCTCCTTTTAAATTTTGAGATAAGGTCTCCTTAAGTTGCTGAGGCTGGCTTTGAACTTGTTATCTTCTCCTGCCTCCCTGGGAGTATAGGTATGTGCCAAAAGGCCCAGCACATTTGGGTATTTTTAATTATATCAGATAATTTATAATATCGCTAGATATTATTAAATTTTCTTTATTTAATTGGAGTGAACTATGAAAGAGGCTGAATAGATGTTTCTAGAATCCATTAAACTGCTTAAAGCCCATCAATTGAAAGAAAATATCTTCAGGCTAAAGCACTGCACTGGGTCCAGAAACACAACACATTTATTTTACTTATCTCATTTTAATTCTGTAACTTAAATGATTTGTTAGTTTTCACCAAAGAGCTCTCCTCTTTTAGATTCAGCCTTACCTTTAATTTCTGATAATGAGGAAGGCTGCTGCAATGAGTATTCTTTGCAACTTCTTCATTTGTATAAAAGAGTGAACACAGCTTACAGTAAAACCCTGTTTTAGGTATCACATAGTCTATACCTAGAAACACAAACATACATTCTTACAAATTAAGTAAATTGAGTAGTCTCAAGTTGTTTCTCCTATCAATATAACTTGAATCAGACAACGTAACTGTGGGAAGTTCCATATGTCCTAAGCTATAAACAAAATAAACCCAAACCCACAATATTAATAGTTTAAGATCCCACCTAACTGTACTCTTAAAAAATAAAAGACGGAAATATAACACAGAAACACAAAAAGCAATGAGTAATTTTCTGAAAACTATGAGCAGAGAGAACACTGTGGAATAATAACATAATACAAAAATCAAGAGACATGTGGAAGAAGAAAAGAGAATATTATTACTTAGGTGTACGAACTATTCCCCACTGGAATAAACAAATCAAAAAACCCACAACAAGCTAGTTTGATAGTTTAACATACTATCAAAGCAAACACTATAAAACATACTATAAAAGCAAAATTTACATATTATTTTAGTAAGGGGGATAAGAGGGAATAACAAAGCCTTAAAGCTCACCAACAGGAACATTGGGCTGGTATGGTCCAATTCTATACTCATCTGGGATTGTATAGTCTTCCTTGTTTTCTTCACTTTGGCCATCTGCATTTTCACTTGTATCTTTGTTGGGGTCATCAGCAGTCTCAGCAGATTCAGCACCTGGTTCTGTATTTTCCTCATTTTTTATTCCATTTTCCAACGCAGCTTCATTTTCTTGATCAAGTTCCTCGATCTTGTCCACCTTAATTTCAACCAAACCATCATCATTTTTGTCACCAGATTTAAATGCCATGCCCGATTTACGAAGTTTCTGAAGTTCCGAATCTTCCTCATCACCAACCTCATCTAGAGTGACAAAACCTTCCATACTCCCTGGGAAACGACGCTGTTAAGAAAGACAAATTTACTCTGCAACAATTATCCTGCAGCATCCCTTCCATTTGTTTTACTTGAACGGAAAGGGATAGCGCGTCTTTTGTCTTTATTCAATTCTCTCAAAATGCTAACCTTTTCCTTTCACTCATCCCAAATCACGTGTAACTTTTTTTTTTTTTTTTTTGGTACTGGGGATCAAACTAACTCAGGGACACTATATCAATGAGTCTCATCTGCAGCTTTTTATTAGGGATGGGGTACCAGGTTAGATTAAACTCAGGAGCAGTCAACTACTGAGCCACTATTTTGTATTTTATGTAGAGACAGGGCCTGAAATTCCTAGCACCCAGCTTTTGCTGAGGCTGGATTCGAACTCAAGATCCTGTCAAGTCTTTTGAGCTGCAGGGATTACAGGAGTGTGCCATTATGCCTCCCCGCATCTTATTTGAGATTTATTTTTTATTTTGAGGGGTTCTGCTAAGCTGCCAAGGCTGGCCTCAAACTTGGGATCCTCCTGCCTCAGCCTCTGGAGCTGTTGGGATTGCACCATTGTTCTTGGCACTGATGACTTTTACGACAATTTAGTTTGTTTCAAATTTAAATAATGGGGCTGGGATGGATTTTAATGGTAGTGCTCTTGCCCAGCATGTGAGAATCCTTGGACTTGATTGTAAGTACTGGAAAATAATAAAGAATAGGGCTGGGGATGTAACTCAATGGCAGTGAGTACTTCATCAATAGATGTGCCAAGTCCCAGATTTCATCCCCAGCACAAAAACCAAAAACTAATGAAAGGCCTGACTCATACAAAGAATGTAATTGATATAAGACTATTCATTTCCACACTTTCTGAGACTATTATGCTGCTAAGACGTGTCACAGAACCGATTTGATAAAAGCAGTTGAGTAACATTCTCTGCAAGACAATACCTTGCAATACAACTTTTATTGAGAAAACCCCAAGTTTCATACAGTGTAATCATTAAGAAAACAAGTTCTGCTGCATGACTATTTAGGTTTAAATTTTGGATCTACTATTTAGAAGCAGTACAAACTATGACAAGTTATTGAACTTCTCCAGAATTCCCTAAATTTAGAAATGGAAAAGGGCTGGAGAGCGTAGCTCAGTGACAGTGTTTAACTAGTGTCCATGAGGTACCAGGGATTCAATCCCCAGTACCACAAAAACAAAAACCCTGATTTATGGAAAGGGGTTTAATAATGGTACTTACTGCATGTTTACTGTGAGGATTTAAATGCACATATATAAAGAGCTTAGAAAAATTTATGGCATTTATTAGTGCTCAATCATTAACTTTCTACAAGGGTAAACATTATTACACAATGACCATATACTTCAGGCAGAATAATAAACTAATATATAAGCTGTGTGACCAAGCCATTAAAACTTACAGGTTAATAGGAAATATTAAGTCTTCTTTCATTTTTGGTACTGGGGAATTGAGTGCTTAAGCACCAAGCCACATCCCCATCCTTTTTTATTTTGATACAGGGTCTTGCCAAGTTGTTAGGATTATGAACTTGCAATCCTCCTGCCTCAGCCTCAGAGTCACTGGAACTATGGGCATGTATCACCATACCTGGCAGTATTTCTTTTCTTTTTTTTGAAATGGGAAACTCACAATGTAGCCCAGGCTAGCTTCAAACTAAAGATCCTTCTGCCTCAGCCTCATTCCCAAGCACCAGGAATTATAGGCATGATACCACACCACACCTATCTTAAGCCTCATTTCACCATGTCATCATTTTATCACATTTTACCTCAACATGCCAGGGTTGTGGTACTGGGGATCATTTTACTTTTTAGCATGTAATAAATTTTTATATTTATATCCTTGTATATAACTTTTCTAGTAAAATTGTTTTAAAATCAAAGTACCTACTAAGCCCACATTTCTCAAATAGGATAAATTCTTTAAATTATGTTTTGTCAGTTAACCTACTGCAAACTCAAACCCCATCTTTTTTTAATATAAGCTGTACTCTAAGGATGTCCTACGAGTACTTTTACATGACCACTATAATACAGAAGAATATGTAAGTTATGACTCATTACTAAGAAGTTCTCTTTTCAAATTAGCTGCTTCTTTGTTAGAACTACAATAAAATGTTCTATATTTATTGCAGAGATTTTACTTTTTGTTTTGTTTTTCTGATACTAGTAACATACTTCTCATTATTGGGCCCTGCTTCAGTAAATAATCTGAAAAAATTATATATATTTTTCTATAAAAACAATTCAATATAAAATATCTTATTTACCTTTTTAAGCTTTTTCTTTGCTGCTGCTGAAGCACTTGCATTTGCATCTTTTTTTACAGCTTTATCTGAAGGTTCCTTTTTCCCATCAGAAGTCACATCACCTAAATTAGCAAGATCAGTCTCATCTCCCACAGAACTGCCACTTTCTAGAAGTGCTGCTGCTTCTTCTTCATCTACAAGTAGCTCATCTTCAGATTCCAGAAGCATATTAGGTTCCTGTTCTGTCTGGTCATCCTTTGTATCTTTCTCACCATCTTCACCTGACTTCTCTTCTTGTTCTTTACCTTCAGTTGTACTTTCAGTCTTCTGAGAACCATCAGTTTTAGATTTCTTATCACTTGGAGATTCTTTGCCATCTGGAGAATAAGATCTCTTTCTGAAATTAAAAAGATGCACCACAATGAATTTTGGGGGGTTGGAAAAATAAAAATTTAACATACTAATGCATATAAAAATAAAAAAATGAAATTACCGGGATTTGTCTTTTTTCAGTAAGTCAATACCTCGGTTGGGAATCTAAAAAGAGAAGAAACATTTTGCAGATGTGAAATAACTGCATCAACATATACTCATTTATAGAATATATGATCATCCATATACTAACTTATAGAATATACGATCATCCATTAACATTTGGTGGCCATCCTTACATAATTAACTCATTCAATTCCTGTTACGATGCCCAAGAACTCAAACTGAGGATACTCAGTTCATCAAAATCATCAAACAAGAGTGTATAATAAACATTCTGGTAACAAGCTGTTCATCAAAATTTTAGTTATAAAGACACTTCTGCTACTAGAGAAAAACCAGAAAAAAAGGGTGCTGTCTTTCAATAATCAAATCTTATAAAAATCTGAAGAAGAATGCTGTGGTATCAGTTGGCTGGGCACAGTAACATGCACAAGTAGCCCACCTTCTTGGGACTAAGATTGAGGCAAAAGGACTACATGAGTCCAGGAGTTAGGGGCCAGATTGTGCAATACAGCCAGAGTCTGTCACTTAATAAAAGTTTTTTAATGATGAGAAATCCAGCAGTACATACCCTCAGTACTAGTTTTTTATATTTCTCAGAAAGGTCAACCTTAACACATCTCCCCTGAAACCAAAGGGCTTTTTTCAGACAATGGTCAACCATTGCCATTGCATCTTCTCTGGTCTCCATCTCAATAAAGGCCTAAAATAAAAAGAAAACCCATTAAGGATATCAATTCTCAGAATTGTACAGTAATATTTGTTCTATTCTCATTAGGAAAACTTAATCGTTAACATAGCAACACTTAAAAAAAAAAACTGAGCCGCAATGAAAAAAGGCAGTGGACAACCTATCAGGTTTATGAAGTCCCTAAAGTCACTATAGCATCAAACAAAACCATTTTTAAACTGGGTGCAGTAGCTTGGGAGGCTGAGACAAGAGGATCACGAGTTGAAAGCCAGCCTCAGCAAAGTCGAAACACTAAGCAACTCAGTGAGACCTTGTCTCTAAGTAAAACACAAAAAGGGCTGGGGATGTGGCTCAGTGGTTAAGTGTCCCTGGGTTCAATCCCTAGTACACAAGCATAAAACCACTTTTAGGGGCTGGGGATGTGGCTCAAGCGGCAGCGCACTCGCCTGGCATGCGTGCGGCCCGGGTTCGATCCTCAGCACCACATACAAACAAAGATGTCATGACGGCTGAAAACTAAAAAATAAATATTAAAAAAATTCTCTCTCTCTCTCAAAAAAAAAAAATTTTTTATGCAGTCTTTCTGCAAAAGAAACTATAAATAAATAAACTTAGTAGATATTAACACAAATAATATAAGAAAAATTTAAAAAAATCTAGAAAACTCAGAATGTTGAGCTAGAAAGCAGTAAAAAGACACTCTTGGAGGGGGGCTGCTGGGCATTGAACCAAGGGTTGTCTTCTAGTGAACTGACTTCAAACCTCTGAAAAAAATTTTTTTTTTGGGGGGAAAATACCAGGGCTTGAACCCAGGGACACTTAAGCATGCATGGCACCACATCCCCAGTCCTTTTATTATTTTTGGTGATGGGAATTAACTCAGGGGCACTGGACCACTGAGCCACATCTCTAGTCCCGTTTTGTATTTTATTTAGAGACAGGGTCTCATTGAATTGCTTATTGTCTTGCTAAGTTGCCAGAGGGTGGCTTTGAACTTGCGATCCTCCCATCTCAGACTTCAGAGCTGCTGGGATTACAGGTTTGTGCCACCGTACTGTGCCATGGCTATCCCCGGCCCTTTTAAAAAATATTTTATTAGAGCGGCTGGGGCTATGGTTAAGTGGAAACACACTTGCCCTGAATGTGTGAGGCACTGGGTTCGAGTCTCAGCACCACATAAAGGCCTGCCAACAACGAATAAATAAATAAACAAACAAGCAAGTGAATGGATGAATATTAGAGACAGGGCATTACTAAGTTGCTAAGGCTGGCTTTGAACTCAAAATTCTCCTCCTAGACTCCCAAGCCACTGGGATTATAGGATGTGTCATTGCCCCTGGCTATCAAATCTCTGGAATACAAGCATGGGACAATTTAGCCATTATTTTCAGATTTGGAAAAGCCTATAATATACAGTACTTATAAAACAGTCTTAATGAGACAGCAGAGGTGCTAAGCAACTCAGTGAGACCCTGTCTCTACAAATAAAATAGGGCTGAGGATGTGGCTCAGTGGCTGAGTTCCCCTGAGTTCAATTCTAGTACCAGAACAAACAATAAAAGAAAAACCTCCAAAACAAACAACAAAACACCATACCTTCAAACAACGTTAGTTTGATTAGAAGTGGGTGTTATCAATTTGGTAACATAAAACAAAAAGCCAAACTGCAGCCTGAAATTGCTGGGATTACAGAATCTCAGCAAACCTGGAGACTGAAGTAGGAATATCACACTTTGAGGCCAGCCCCAGTCAACTTAGCAAGACCCTATCTCAAAATACAAAAATAAAAAGGGCCGTGGGCACAGGGGATGTAGCTCAGTGGTAGAGTTCCCTGGGTTCAAAACCAGGACGACACAAAATAAAACAAAAACTAAAAGCTTTTTATTATCAGAATTTATTCAATGCTTTGTATGCATACCTACTATGGGGGAAAAAAATCTCAGTCGTTATATGGCTAAGAAGACTTATATGTATTTTCTTTTTGGTACTGGGAGTCCAATCTAGAAACTTACACATTACACAATGGCTCGACCACTAAGCTATATTCTCAGCCAAATGAATATCTTAAAAAGTAATTTTGTATTTATTACCTGACTTTTCATCCTCATCAATATATAATTCTTTATTTTCCCATACGGCTCAGCAAGCTTAAGGACAGCACTATCAGAATAGCCAGAATGGGGTAAATTGCTGAGGTGTATCACACGTCCAAGCTCTTGCTTTTGATCAAACTTCTGATCTGGCTTCCCTTCAGGTTTCTTTAAAAAGGGGAAAAAGGTAAAGTAAACTGTTGGTCAATCCTGTTTTTTTAAAACAGCAATTTAAAATAGACAAAGTTAATAAAATGATGTATTGAGAGGTTACCTATACATAATCTGGAGGGTTAGGGGAGGGGGGAGAGGATACCTTTATTCTTTTATACTTCTGGGATAAATGAACTCTCACTGGTTTTCCAAATACTAATGCTGGTGTGGTTGTATAATAATCCACTGCAGCCTGAGCATCTTCTGTTGTTGCCATTTCAATAAATGCCTAAAATTGTTAAAAAAAAAAAAAAAAGAAAAAAAGTTTTTTTCAATAAGATGATATTTCCAACATTTCTAGATGTTACATTTCATCACTGAATAGAAAGCACTTTCAAGAAATATAAACAAAAGACTTGTATTGACAATTTGCTGTTTTAAAGTTACCAGAAACTATATTCATGGTATTAAACTATCATTTACTATGCTCATTGCTGAAAAATGATTTAGCATCGTTTGACATAGGTCTAAAAAAGTTTTCCAAAGAATTTTACTTTTACTGCCTTTATAGTAGTATAATAACAACACTACTACTTACAGATCACAATATACAAAGTTTCTAATAATCAATTACTACTAGAATATTATTTGAGATATTCAACTATTGGCTTTTCCTTTATTACATTCCCAGTCCATGATTTATATACATGGATTTCATTCCTTTTCAATTCAGAAAATACCTTAATGGTATTAGTAAACAATGCTTATTTCAATGCATACCTCATTAATTTTATTTAGAATCAGATGATTTGAAATGACTCCAAAAGGTTCCACCAGCTGCAACAGTTGGTACCTCAAGTTTTTCCCTCGCTGAAAATCCATGATGTGAACAACTCGGCTAGTTTCCTATTCATTGTGGAGAAAACTCAAGTCAATGTGTGTGTGTGTATATATTTTATATATGGTACTGGGGACTGATCCAGGCACAGAGCCATATCCTCAGCCCTTTTTACATATTTTATTTAGAGACAAGGTCTCAATGAGTTGCTTAGGGCCTTGTTAACTTGCTAAGGCTGGTTAACCACTCAAGACATCAAGCTGCTTGAACTTGTGATCCTCTTGCCTCAGCTTCCTGAGCTGCTGGGATTACAGGTGTGCCCAGCTGTAAGGTTTTAAAAGCCAACAAAAACCAGGTGCAGTGGTAGACTGCTGTAATCCCAGAGACTTGGGAAGTTTAAGTAGAGGCAGAGGCAAGAGGATTACAAGTTCAAAACCAGCCCCAGCAAGTTAGCAAGACTCTTGTCTCAGAATAAAAACCTGGAAGTGACCCAGTGATTAAGAACTCTTGGGTTTAATCTCCAGTACATATAAAAAAAAAAAACAGAAACAAAAAACCCAAGCAAAAAACAAGCAGCCAGGTGTGGTGGCGCATGCTTTTAATCCCAGCAGCTTGCAAGGCTGAAGCAGGAGGATCATGAGTTCAAAGCAAAAAGGAGGTGCTAAGCAACTCAGTGAGTCCCGGTCGTCTCTAAATAAAACACAAAATAGGGCTGGGGATGTGGTTCAGTGGTTGAGTGTCCCCAAGTTGAAAAAAATCCCCAGTACCGACAAACAAAAAAAGATAAGAAGAGGGGACTGGAGTTGTAGCACAATGGTATAGAGCACAGACTTAGCAAGCTCAAGGTTCTGGAGACTGAAGAAGTAAAAGTAACATGAAACACATCATCCATTAGAATTTTAGTATTAAAATTAACCACAAAAGTATTTAATGTTCCAGAATTTTAAAACTTCATAGCAATTAAATTTGTCACTGTAATAAATTCTTTCTGCTTAAATCCAAGTGGTTATAATGATCACCAAGATTTTCAGTCTCTATTGTCTTTTAAATAGAATGTTGTATACATAACTGGGTAGCAAGTTCCTTAGATGCTAATTCAAGGTGAGATTTTTTTTTAAGACTGTGTGGTATACCAGTCATTTAAAAATCTAATGATTTTCAAACTATTTTGACACTCTTCCTATAGTAAGAACCACAATGAAAATTAAATTAGTAAGTATTTACGTTAAACTACACACCCACCCCCAAACAGAAAATAAAATAAAAAGCAATGGCTACATTACTGACCACTCTGCCTTTTTGCATGTGTCTAGGTCCTTGCAGGTTTCCGTTTCCAGCACCTTTGGGGGAGATGGGAAGAAAGTTTATAGTAAGTACACTTTCTATAACAAGCCATTTTAATGAAAAAGTATACATAATTTTCAATAAGAAATTAAAAAACATTGGAGACATGAATATAGTTCACTAGCACAATGTTTGCCTCACATGCAGAAGGCTCTGGGTTTGATTCCCAGTACTATTTAAAAACAAACAACCCCCCCCCAAATATTACAAATACCTGGCTGTTTTTTCATGCTGTTATTTTTTTGAACAATATTCGGACTTAAATTTTATGACCAAAAAGTAATATGAAAAAAGTTAATATGAATTTCATTTCATATAATTACCCAGATTTCCTCTTGGCCCAACTGCTGGTCCCCCAAGATGAAAGGAGGGGGGTGGAGGTCCCAAAATTCCTGGTGCCGGGTTTGTAGACTGCTGCAACATGAATGGATCACCCCTAGTAATGTGAAGAAAATATGAAAAACAATAAAGAGGTGCATCAGAAGTAAGATTTACAAGCATCCTTTGTACAACTATGACAACTTTGAGGGCTTTATATATGACATAACTAGGGGAAAATCCATAACAATAAAAGAATAAAAGTTACTACATAACTTTATAAAAATTACTTAAGACAGTGATTTTTAATCTCTCAAATTCAGCAATGAAATTCTAAAATATTTATGAATATTGAAAGTTAAACCTGGATTCCTTACATTGATCTCCTGTACAAACAATAGCTTAAAATTTTTTAACTTACATTGTGTGTCCTGTATCATTGTCAGGATTCCATTCTGGGTAGCTTTAAAAAGACCAGAAAATTAACTTTAAAATAAAACTGTCCTTTTCACAAAGTAACCTTGTTTGGCCTCTAAAATAGAGATAATTTATTAGTAAAGTTATCTGAGAGTCTAAATGTTAGAAACATTACAGTTTTAAAGTATGTAATATATTTCAAAAGTACTTCAAAACAGTCCAAACCAATGTGAATCAACTTGTCTGGTATTGCTTGCAAATGTAGGCAATGTATATTGAAACTAAATGATCCCTGTATTTGTTAAATTAAGAGGAAGAAAAATGTTGAATTAGAAAAACAAGAACAGACTGCCAGGTTTTGCTTCCCTAATATTGAGTCTCAAGAACATACATGAGTTGTGACAATAGAAAGAACAGCCTCAAGTGAGCGAGGCATATATAAAAATTTCAACTTCAGTGAACAATGGGCATGATGCTGTTTTAGGCAGTTTCTTTATGAATTCCACATTGCTATAGCAGCCTAAACTTAGAAACTTAGGTGTTTCAAAAGAAAAGGAAAAAAAAAAAAAAACATGAGGGATTTTGCATGATAAACTAGTAACTTTTAGTTATATCATCTATATTTTTAGAGCACATATTCACTATTATTTTAAAATGCTATCATGAATCTTCTAAGTTTCAAAGGCTTTCATTTAGTTCATTAAAAATTCCACCTGTTGCTGGGCATGGTGGCACAGGCCTGTAATCCCAGCAGCTCAGGAGGCTGAGACAGGAGGATGGAGACTTCAGAGTCAGCCTCAGCAAAATCGAGGCAAAATAATGAGACCCTGCCTCTAAATAAAATACAAAAAATAGCTGAGAATGTGGCTCAGTGGTTGAGGATCCCCATATTTAATACCCAGTACCACCCCCCCACAAAAAATCCACTTGTATAAAAATGCCCAATATTTACCTTAGAAATAAATCAAACCATGAAGTGTCACCATTATGCATCTAATAATCAATGTAAGATTACAGACTTAGATATGTTATCTTTAATTAGTATTGCCCACACAGTATCAATTATGTCGCTATTACAAGTAATATGGTAAACTACCCAAAACCAATAAAGGTTGTTTCTGATTCAGGATAGGATGCTTTAAAGGTATTTCAAACTCCTACATTTCAAGAAGAAGCTGGCATCGGCGACTGTGACTTGCTCCATTGATATGTTGACTCCACTCCTGCAGCAAAGTAAATTAGTAGAATTAACAAAAATAAAGCTTAAAATATTTTCATCTGAACCATTCAAACTCTAGGATGTTAATGCCTATGCAGTTTCATAGGCTATACAAACACTCGATTCATTAAATCACACTGATTTAATTTAAAGCCATTATTGAGTCCTTGAAACTTGATCCTGCCCTCAAATACGCTGTGCACATTCTTGGAAAAACTGGATTAATATTAACTTGGCCAACATACTTAAGAATACTGACACAGAAAAGATATAGAATTTAAAAAGATCAAGAACACTGACCTTGAGATCAGTTAAACATATTAACTTCTGTTGTAGACCAAACAGAAATATTCGCTATTAGAACTGCTACTTTACAACATTCTAAATGATAAAATATCCATGTTTGTAAACACTTTTTAGAAAATGTATAAATGTGAATAATTAAATATAAAATCTTTAGTTCCACCCAGGTTTTGAGGCATGCAGGCAGTGAAAAATGCACAATAATTTACGTTGCCTTAAAAAGGTAACATTGTTTAACAGAAATGTATTCTCTAGAAAATGCTCCCCATTTACCCCAAAATCAAGTATCCATATTTCCCAAAAATAGAAAAGCAATTTTAAGTAAAGTCTGGGTCCAAATTTTAAACAGGGAAACATTATGTTTGTATTAACATTTGCTCCACTGAGGGTTTTTTAAAATTAGAGGAACTAAATTCATTTTTATTTTTGGTACCAGAGATTGAAGCCAGTGGTGCATTTAACCACATTCCTAGCCCGTTTACTAATTTTTTTTTTTTGAGACATGGTCTAGCCAAGTTGCTGAAGCTGGCTTTGAACTTGCAATCCTCTTAAATCAGACTCCCAAACTGCTGGGATTACAGGCATGCGCCACTGCGCTCAGCCCTAAATTTGTATTTAATAAATGTTCCTGTCCTTAGGGGGGAGAAAAATTCAGTTATCTTTTTAGCTATTATGAGAGGCAAAAAACTGATGTCTGCTGCCAAATTGCCTAGGTTCCACTCCTAAATTGCATGTGACTAGATGTTATTTCTTAGTCCAAAGCTATTTAAATTCATTGTGACAATATTCTCATAGGGATGTTGTGAAAAACAAATGAGTTAATAAAAGGCAAACTGCTTCAGAACACTGGGAAGCACATGGCAAGTGCTCTCCAGGAAAACAGGGTGAATTATCATTGTACTGCTCATAAATCCATCTCATTTTACAACTTACTATTCCCAAATTCCCACAATGAGGCAATTTCTGTAACACCTTTTATACCTACACAAATAAGGGGAATATAAATGTAGTCAGGCAATGTGTTTTTATACCTAAATAGAGGAAGGATAGGAGGTCTCAGCTAAACAAAAACATGGTACCAGATTTTTAAGGTACAGAGTTATGAAAAACTTCATAATATTTTATAGATGGAACTTTAACTTTTAAAGAGTAATTTACATTAATTACCACAGTTTATGTACATTCCTATGCCCCAAGGGAATTAACTTAAACCCTGTGAGAGAACTAAGATGGTATCCAAACAAAATGTGGGGAGCTGCTAATTACTATTCCCATGACTATAAAAACTTACATTGTCTTTTAAAAATAATGGCTAATAAATAGGAACTTAAGATTTCTCTAGCTCTACAATCAGATATTTGAGATATGTAAGATGTCTCACAGCAAAGCAACAGACCATTGATTTGCTGGAGGCCACTTTAAAAATGGCTGTAAGGAAGAGGTGTTATAGGTGAAGTTCACAAAATTCAGAAGAGGAATTAAATACATTTTTCTAAACAGAAAAGTATTTATATTTTATTTTAAAAAATTGAAAAAATAAATGGTACCCTATTAGGTAAGTTTCTAGTTCACAGGAAATGGAAAAGGTACATAGCTGAACAGAATTCTATCCAATCCCCTAGGTTCCTTAAAGGTTCAAACTTCATCATAAAAATGTAGTTGGTCTTGGGGCTGGGGCTGGGGCTGAGTGGCAATGCACTTGCCTTGCACTTGTGAGGCACTGGGTTCAATTCTCAGCACCACATATAAATAAAATAAAATATAACTAAAAAATATTTTTTAAAAAAATGTGGTTGGTCTTTCAAAATGCTGGAAAGGTCAAAATCAGAAAATTAGTCAAGTACTGCCAAAACTCACCCATTTCTAAATTTGCATTTGTTACCTGATCTCTTCCTGTGCGGTTTAAGGTGCAAACTAAGAGTCAAAGGGTTTTTTGTTTTGTTTTGAATCTGTATCCTTAGATTCTATACTAAGGCAATCTTAAGACATCTGAGATCAATAAAGAATAACTTTTAGAATTCAGAAATTTCTGTAGGAAAACTACATTCACCTTGATATCCTTGAGATAAGTTACATGAAGAAAAATTTGGGAAGCACTTCCAGAATAGAATATAGAACAATTTAAGGGCTTCTAAAGTAATACAAAGGAAAAATATGAACTCAAATGACAAGAGAGCAAAAGGGCTTTAGTGGGCAATTTTCCTTAAGTGAAAGGAACTTGAAGGAAGTTTGAGATTGTGTAGAAAAGCAACTTGATGTTCTAAAATGACCTAGAAAGAAATAAAAGTAAGACCATCACTTAAAGTAACACCAAAACATAAAAAAACAAAGACACGCCATGATGACAAATTAAGAGTCTGTTTTTCACTTAATTTTCTTATTTCATAGCAAGAAGAACTTGTGAGCATGTAAGCTAGTTAACATTACTATTAAGTGGAAATAACAGATTTTCCAAGTTATGCAGCAATACCAGAGAGCAGGATTAAATGCTTAAAAATTTTTCAAATCTACTTCCACCATAGGAATTTTCTCTACCATCATTCCATGTCAGTTATAAAATCAAGGATCCACCGCTAAAGTGAGTATTTAATTTTTTTTAGTGATGCACAGAAAATATCAGATAACGTTTGTTTAGGCAAGTAGAAAACATTGAGAAAATCCATATTTAAACTTCATAAAATTGTTTAAAATATAAATATTGTAAATCGAACAATTAAAAAAATTAAAGGCCTTTAAAATAGTTCTTAAATATATTCAGTACTTTGACAGAATATCAAAACTAGATAGGACCTAAGCATTTTTTTATAGGCTAAAAAGTACCTCTTGCACTAGAGTAGGGTATCTTACTCTTGAATCCAAAGTTTCATCAAATATTTAAAAACTGTTCTTTTGTTAATTTAGATCCATTTAAATTATTAGCCTTCTTCAGGAACTAGAAAGTAGCAAAATTTGGAGAAAAATAATAATCATATACAAAAGCAAACTTTTATCTTGTAAGTCCTCTTATAGTTCCCTTTTATGTTTCCTTTTTTTGATATCCCAACAACTTTATGACTCCAGTGGCAACAATTTTTAAGTCCCTTCAGATCACTTTCATTTAAGACACTATAACTACATTCCTTGAAATACAGAGATCTTTTTTGGAGAACACTGGTCCCAAGACCATGTCCACTATTACATCTTTGTAAACAGACCAAGAAGTAATGTAGAAAAAAAAATTGGAGTCAACAAAGTTAATGTAGCTTTTCATTATATTAATTCACATCGGACCTAAACCTTGAAGTTTAGTACAGAAAACTAAAATTCCATGATATATTTAGTACATCCAACAAAACTGGAAAAAGATAACACTAAAAACACATATCAAATAAAATTGCTGAGTTTGGGGTTCTATTTCTTAAACAAAAATAAATCTATGAACCTAAATTTAGCCTTTACATTAACTTGTTTTGGTATGGACTAACAATTAAAGACAAAAATGCTAAGATCCAAACAGGAAAGGGAGTGATTGATAATACTCTTTTAACAGCATATTAAAAACAAATTCTCTATCCATATAGTTTAAGTCTACTCAAAAATCCATACTCACTAAAAAATGCACTTCAAAGGAATAGATATGAAAAGAAAATGAGCCTTCCAGATGTTACTGTAAAGAAAAACCCTGTAACAGTAACCATCAAATCAGTTTCATGGCAGCAACTTGAATAATCCAGTTAAGCAGAAAACTATACAGCGCATCAGGAAAAATGGATGGTCACAGATTATAGATCAAGCTAGTGGGGTACTATATAATGTTGACTTTAAGTCAACTGCAATATACATTGGGGGGAAAAAACCCAGTGAGAATGAACAACACTGAAAAAGTTCAAAGAGAAAGGACAACGTATTTAAAAGGGCATTTTTGAAAAAGTCCCCATTTTGCCAGATGTGATAATTAAAGTAAAGGAGAATTAGATATTTTTTTTTCAAATGACTATACCAGAAGTCTAATAAGCCTAAGTCAGAAAAAGAATTTGCTTATGAGGAACACAGAGCAGGATACTGTAGTAGTTGATTTATTCAAGTCTCTAAAGGGACAGATGCAATATGGGATAATAAAAAGTGAGTTTTGAAGTATGTTTAAGAAAGTTGTGGAAAAGGAGAAAAAAAATGATGAAAAATTTCAGTCATAGTATGAGAGTTTGTGTTAAAGGGAAATTAAAAAAGAAGAATGAACTAATCTAAAATATGAAACATACGGAAACAAACACCAGGGCTCTACATTAACTCTTTCCCTGTAGCCACAGATAAGGAAAAAAAGAGAATTGTTCAAGAATACATCTTTACTACATACAAATCAGCAATCAAGACAGATGGAGAGCTGAAATCTAGCATCCTAAATGGCAGAGCTCATTGACTGTGAAAAAAATTCTTAATTCAACAATTCAACAAAGCAGACAAAAAACCTGCTTAAATATATGATTAAGAAGAACATATTGATGCCAAAAACCAACAAGATAATTCCAGTGGATGACAGCTTTGTGGCCAGAAGTAATCTAGGCAGATTTTATTAATGTAAAGCCCTGGTTTAAAATGCTCAAAAACAATTACCTTTCAAATAAAGTAAGTGTTCTCAAAAGTATAAAAATTCTTGATCAACTCGGGGTCATCAGACTATAGAATTAGAGTAAAAGATATAAATACAGAATAGGCACTACAATGTAAAAGAAATTAGAAGCATCTGTTGCATTAACTCACCTTATTAGAATGAACTGGCAAATCACATATAGAGCACAGATGGGGATAACCCTTCGGTAAGAGTCCATGGAAGTCTTCAATATTGCTACTTGGAGGAGCGCCCCTCTTTTTCTCAAAGAGAGATCTCTCTTGTAAGGGGCCAGGACCACGTCCCATTCTCTCATACTCACTGTCAAATTTATGATAGTTATGCGAGGTCTCACCAAAAAAGGAATCATCCCTACACCTTTCTCCATCTCTTAATCTGTCATCTTCATAATCCATTCTGTCATAATAACCAGATTCTTGAGAACGACTTCCATGGTCATAATCAAGCACTGGGTTGAGACTAGGACCACGATCATCAAAACTATCTCTTCTAAAGTGCCTTTTTTCTTCCCAATCATCCCTAGGTACTCTGTATGGTGGCTCCCGTGTAGCAGATCTGCCATCTCTACCATAACTCAATGTAGGGCCTTCTTCAGTTCTCCTCCTTTTAAGCTGCAGAAGGATTTGGGGCAAATTCTCAGGAGTAATCTTGTCCTCTGGATAACGACTCAGTTCATCTAAGTCTCTAGCAGACAGACCAAAGCTGGCCAAAATGTTACTGGCCTGGTCTGCATCTCCACGGTGTTGAGAAGACAAAGGGAGTGGACCTCTACTTCCAATGTTAAATATAGACTGCAAATTATGGGAAGAAGTACTAGCAGAAGACAGTGCACTATGAGCTCCTTGTTGATTCAATGAAGAACTCATTCCAAGATTCATTAAACTAGCAAGGCGTGCAGTACCCTGGTTCATCCTTCCAAGAGATGCTGGCATACTTAAAGACTGGGTAGCAGCAGCAAGAAGGCCTATTCCTGCTGCAGACAGGTCACGCCCATGACCCTGTGAGTCCCTACCGAGAGATGACTGCTGGAATGACTTGGACATTGTAGAACTATCTCTTGTCTATTTTATAGATCGAAAAAAAAATTTTTAAAGATGGCCAAAAAGAAAGCTCAAACTAGAAAGCTAGGTTAACTTTGCTTCAAAAAATGGTAACGCCAAGAAAAAGGATCAATAAGGACTGTAGAATCTTCTTCAAGCTGAGAACCAGCAGACAACTCTGTAGAAAAATAAGCAATTTTAGTCATAAATCCCTTTAAGTAGATGCCGTTTTTTTTAAGAAAAAAAAAACTTACGCATCATGTTGATTAAAAAAAACATTTAAGATCTCAAACTTACAAGGAATTTATTACATATCTTAAACAGATTCCAGATGTATGCAGAGCTGCATATAGATACTTAAAAAGTAGTTTTTCATGCTAAAATTTAACTATTAAAAGGGAATTTCATACTGAGTTTAAAAACATTTAAACTGAAGGGCTAGATGTCTGAACACATCAAAATTTCAGTCAAAACATAGATGGGTTTCTTCTTTTAGAAGAATAAAAACGCACCCTATAGTATGATGTTTAAGTTTCAGAAGACTTTTAAAAATAAAAATAAAAATAAAAAAATCAAGTTCAGCAAGTCAGAGATGAATCAGTTGTATTCTGCTTTGGAAAACGAGATCTATTATCGCTATCAGAAAGAAACAAGTAAAATAACAAGTAAATGAAGCTTAAAGGTCAAGTACCTAATATAAGATCTAAGACCAAACAATAGTTGAGACCTTCATGCAACAAAATCAATTTGAGGTGAAGACAGATGTGAAAAAGAACAATAAGTCATTTCCTACAGTTTTAAGGATTTCTGCACAAACTTGAGCCATACAACGAATTGCCTTCTCATTGACCATCCTAGATCAGGCAATGCTTACTTCATATCTACTCTTATAAGGTAAGGAGAGCCAACTCTGGTCAATGTAGATATGAGACCTCCCAAGAAAAAACCCAGGTATAGGAAACAGGCGATTTAAAGAAGGAAAACACCCCAAGTTAACATCCATCAGTACTAATTTAATGCTCAGGGATACTGCACCTCTAGAGCTCAAAACAGGTAAAAATGAAAATGAAACCTTGGTTACAGATTTCTGCAAACTTTTCACAAGAACAATCCAATCACCTGAAACACTTTAATTGTGATTATGGTCCATCAAGATGCATTTCTAGATGAAACCGTTTTCATTTTCTTTCTTAAATCATTACGTGTCTCAAAAATTGTCACATAAGAATATGCAAAGCATTTACATGATTCTCATTAAATATTAGTTAAAAAGATGTACATAATACATGTCTGAAGGGAAAACAGTTTTATAATCACAACCACATACATAGGTAAATCTGATGCTACTTACTACAGAATTTTATTTCAAGGCATTGCTTATTAAAATTTTATGTCTGATCACCCACACACCTAAGCACTTGTAGTTCAATATGCTAAATTTTACTACAGAAAAAACTAACAATATCAAATAACAGTTACATATTTAGTATGGGACCAATTTCAAAGACAGACTGAAGCAAGGATAACTACAAATACAGTGGCAGTGTTAGTATAAAAAAAGATTTAGATTAGATTTTTAAAAGTAGATGTAATAAATTAAAATGATAGAAATGCTGTCAAAGGTGGCTGGAGTTCCAGATGTTTTTGCAAACCATGAATCTGAGAAAAGACACCAAAGAAACTAGTTCTATATGAGATCCACTATGTAAAGTCCTTGAGTTTTAAGACAAAATTAGTAAAGACAAGAGTAAGTAAACTTTGGATGAAAGTTTAATGTCTTAAAAATGACATAGAATGCAGCTTAAATTCTATGTATATTGGTATTGATAAAACTAAGTCTTCATGTATACTTTATTTTTTTAAAACAATCAATGCCTTTAGGGAGCTGGGGATGTAGCTCAGTTGGTAGAGCAGTTGTCTACTATGTATGAAGCCTGGGTTCAACAAAAACAAGTTGAACCAACAAAAACAAACAAATTGGGTGTGGTAGCCCATGGCTATAAGCCCAGAAACTCAGAAGGCTGAGGCCTTAACCAACTCAAAGACCAACTTAACCAAATCAAAAAATAAAAGGCCTGGGGATGTTCCTCAGTGGTTAAACACCCTTGGGTTTGATCCTAGGTACAAAACAATAAGAAAATAAAAATATAAAAAGATTAAAAACCACTTAGAGATATCTTCAATGTTTGTAAGTATCAGAAGTATTAATGCAGCTCTGACTTTCATATTATAGACAAACAAATTAACTACTGAAAAAACAAGTCTTTTCAAAGAGCTCTTCCCTTAATTGAGCTACATCCTCATCCCTTTTTATTTTTTGAGGCAGGGTTCCACTAAGTTGACGAGACTGGCCTCAAAACTTGCAATTGCAATCCTCTTGCCTCAGCCTCCCAAGTCAATGGGATCACAGGTGTATAGCACACCTGATTGTAAATATGTTGTTAAATTACAGACATATCAATTACACTTTTAGCATCTTAATACTAAAATAGTGGATCTATATATGGATAAAGATGACAATACAAAACAGATGTCAGGAAAAAAGGGAGCAAGACAATGTAAATCTCATGACACTATAATTCCATGAGAACAAACTTAATAATATTTTAAAGATAAACTGAATTTCAATCTAAAATACAACTCCATAAAGAACATTATAGAGTAATATTAATGAAGAAAATTTAAGTTGAACTTTTTATTCCAACAAATTCTCAAAAGTGTTTTTATTAAGGTTCTGGGGTTGTAGCTCAGTGGTAGAGTACTTTGCCTAGCATGTGTGAGGCATTGGGTTCGATTCTCAGTACCACATATAAATAAAGGTCCACTGACAACCAAAAAGATATTTTAAAAAATGTTTTCATTAGGGGGCTGGGGTTGTGGCTCAGTGGTAGAGTGCTTGCCTCGCACATATGCGGCCCTGAGTTTGATCCTCAGCACCACATACAAATAAATAAAATGAAGGAATTGGGGCCAACTACAACTAAAAATTATTTTTTAAAAATGTTTTTATTAGGGGGGGGAAAAACCAACAAGATAAACCAGACATTGTAGTACTGCTTACAAAGCATTCATCAAAGCAGGTTTTCTAGTATCTTTTTTGGGGGAAGTGGGGAGAGGGATTGGGAATTAAGCCCAGGAGCACTTAACCACTGAGCTATATCCTAGCTTTTTTTTTTTTTTTTTTAATTGAGTCAGGGTCTTGCTGAGTTGCTGGGGGCTGGCTTTGAGTTTCCAGTCCTCCTGCCTCAGCCTCCCAAGTCACTGGGATCACAGGCATGCATGGCGTCTTTGATCAATGTTGAACATAAAGATGTACAAGCTATTTTTACATGGAACCTGCTGGCCATGGGTAGTCAGCACAACCTCAAGATATTTACTGAAAAACTAGGGATTGAGTTCAGGGATGTGTTATCAATGAGCTACATCTTCAATTCTATTTATTTACTTAGAGACGGGGTCTTGCCAAGTTATGGAGGGTGGCCTTGAACTTGCAATCTTCCTACCTCAGCCTCTCTAGTCCCTGGGATTAAAGGTATGCTACCGTGCTTGCCTTTTCCCTGTAATTACCAGAACTGTCTTTTCATAAATTACACTAAGTTCTAAATGCCCTCTAATGTAGAACCTTTCACGTTCAAAAAAAGGAATGCACCACGAGGTAGTGGTGCCCGCCTATAATCCCAGCAGGTCAGGAGGCTCAGACAGGAGAATCACAAGTTCACCAGCCTCAGCAACAGTGAGGCACCAAGTACTTGACTCGATGAGACCCTGTCTCTAAATAAAATACAAAACAAGGCTGGGCTGGGGATGTGGCTCAGTGCCCCTTAGTTAAATCCTCAGTACCAAAAATAGGAGGGGGGGGGCACCTTACCCCCCCCAAAAAACAGGGTGGGGAAGCCCCAAATAGCAACCAACATTACTTATATAACTTTATTTTGTAAATGCAGTTTGCTGGCTGTGGGATGAAGTAAATACTTGCCCAGTATACATGAGGCCCCGGATTTGATCTCCAGCACGGCCAAAAAAAAAAAAAAGAAAGAAAGAAAAGAAAAGCAGGGGCTGGGGATTTGGCTCAAGCAGTAGCGCGCTCCCCTGGCATGTGTGCGTCCCGGGTTCGATCCTCAGCACCACATACCAACAAAGATGTTGTGTCCGCCGAAAACTAAAAAATAAATATTGAAAATTCTCTCTCTCCCCTCTCTCATTCTCTCTTAAAAAAAATGAGTATATCAAATATGAATTTTTAATAAAAAAAAAAAGCAGTCTGCTACTACATGGTATTCAAATTCTTAGCAAATGGGCTTATGGACAACTTCAAAGAATTAACCTGAAATTTTATTCTATTTCATGATACAATTCAACACTATCCTAAAAATGTAAGCTTCACAAATTCAAATCTGAACAAATACCATTCCTATGTATGCTAAAGAAATGTTTCAGGGCTGGGGATGTGGCTCAAGCGGTAGCGCGCTCGCCTGGCATGCGTGCGACCCGGGTTCGATCCTCAGCACCACATACAAACAACGATGTTGTGTCCGCCAAGAACTAAAAAATAAATATTAAAAAATTCTCTCTCTCTCTCTCTCCCTCCTCTCTAACTCTCTCTTTAAAAAAAAAAAATGTTTCAGTTAATATTTTTACCACTCCTATTCCATGAGTTGATATTGTTTATTGAATTTATTTTCTTCCTTAATTAAAAATATAATACTAGGAGTTGGGACTACAGTTCAGTGGTAGAGCGCTTGCCATTTTATAACTTCTAGCCCCAATTTGAAATTTTACACTCTCTGATGGGCATGGGAACACACATCTGTAATTCCAACCACTTGGGAGACTGAAGCAGGAAGACCACAAGCTTGAGGCCAGTTTCAGCAATTTAGTGAAACCCTGTCCCAAAATAAAAACAGGGCTGGGGATGTAGTCCAGTGGCAAAGTGTCCTTGGGTCCAATTCCCAGTATCAATAAATTATCACTCAGAATGTGTCTGGCACTGTGGTGACCATCTTTTTTTTTTTTTTTTGCAATTTGGTCCTTTACAAAGAGACATAAGGCAAAATTTATATTTAGTTTTAGTTGAGAAACTTTAGAGGTAAAAGGATGGACCCAGGGACGTATGAATAGTCACAATTTTTCTCTTCTACTAAACTCTCTATTTCACATATCAACATTTTAAATTTGTTG